ACTCGACCACGCAATTTGATAACATCAGTTTCGAGTTGTCTGTTCCTGTCACAAACACGAACGAAGTCGTCCGAAAGACGTTGCATCGTATCATTCAGAACGTTAACCATTTCGAAAACTCTACCATCCTGTCGGTCTTTATATTCTTTGAGAAGGTCTCGCTGTTCTTGTACTATATTTAACATTTCTATCTCGAACGGCGAGCGAACTTGCTCGTCATTTGGTCTCCTCTGCACCACCAATGTTGTCTGTACCACCAACGTTGTTACCTTCCTGCTCAGCTGCTTGAGCTCGTGTTAACGGCATCTTCAAGTTAACGAATAGTACTCCCACTGAATCCTGGCGGGGTCGCCAAATGTCGCGTTTCGCCGCGATATATCTCAATCAGCTTTCACAAACAGACTCAGGAAAAATATCACAGTTTATTTACAAAACACAGCCTTATATACATTAACGCCCACACTATACTATACAATACATTTACAAACACAATACAAAACTGGGGTATCATGCGTTCGTTTAATCATGCGTTCATGTTCACCACAATATAGTCGACTCTCGAGCTATCACATTCAACTATAATCGTAATTCATTATAAATTGTGCTACGAATAGTTTTAAATACCACAATTTTTAGCGAAATTTCAATTGTCTTTTAAACAGATTGACCTTTAAAAAAAAAGCTTTCCCAATCAAAATCATTTTAACGAAATTGACGAATAAATTCAAAGAGGTGTCGTACGTTTGTTGATAAATCTACAAGTTAAACTTAATACGAAATACTTGCATGCTTTAAAATACAAAATCTACCTATTTACCTGTTCAAAAACACTCCAAAAATGCTTTAAAATCGTACGGATTTTTTACCATCTATTTGAATCAAAGTTTTATTATCCGAAAGCATCAACTACTTTACATTTTAATCACTTTTACGAGTGAATTTTTCCGTATATTTTCAAAACCATCCAAATGAAAAAGATTTTTTAAAAAGTTTTATAATTCAAAATATCAGTTTTGCTGACGCGAACCAAAATTTTAATTTAGCCAATCGCACGCTTGCAAACGTTTGCTCGTTACCAGTTTTAACTCGTCTTAAACTCACGCATGCGCATAACTTACAAAAACGCCCAACGTCCATGACATAATGGCAGACAACTTTCATTTTGCATTTGCATTCCCGGGCGTAATCAAAATCTCCGGGCGGAATTAGTACCCTCATCCGGTGCTTCGCACCGCCTCGGGGATTATATCTTATGCTTCGCGATCACTGACGTCACTGAACTCGCAACGTAACTGGACTATTTACTTATCATTTAAAAAATATTTATGTTTTAATTAATTCAACGTATTAAACAAACATTGTTTTGAATATGATTATAATGGGTTGTGTTGTAACACTCGTTGCAGGTTGTAGCGCAGAGAATGCAACTTGGGCTCAAGGATTAAGAGAGAAAGTACGTTATTGAGATAACAGAAACCCGAATACGAGATATTGCATTACGTTGACAACAATATACAAAATATGCATTATCACGTTAACGTACTTTCTCTGGAGTAATCCCTCAATCTTTCATTCCAAGTTGCATCTTCTGCACTACAAACTGCAATGCACAGGTTTAAACGGTACAAGTTGAATATATATGTCAACGCCATGTAATATTGTAAGATGTTTTAGCACCCGAGTCGTTGCTGTTGCCCTCAAATATTCAGTGTGTAACGTCTGCGCCTTCAACTCATGTGTACTTTTGATGGGAAAATACTGAATCAAAAAACGTTTGAAAGAACCGTATAATTATATGCGTGTGGACGTTGCGTAAAAGTTGAACTTGTAATCCTAACCTCATTAATTGAACCATTGTTTGTCATCTTGGAATAGTACTTTTGATTTTTTTGCACACTACCCTATTTTATGTTTTTATATGCAAAGCAAATTTTCATCTTATTTTATCAATGAGAATTTAGCATTTGATATTTCGCATGTTTCAAGGTAATTGAGAAAAAGGAAAAAAAATATTTTCAAAATATTTTAATTCTACCCTATTAAATCTTAGCAATGATTTGCTTTACATATAAATTATTTTTTATTGTAATTTTTTATTGGATTTATTAGCTATGCAGACACGTAGGTGATGTAAAATCGATTTCCGAGGTTCTACAGCCCATACAGAGAAAAGATCTTGGAGGTTTTGGCATCCGCAATGGGGCGAAGCATTTCGGCATGTCCCGGTGCACATACATTTTCCGAATATGCCCATAAAAGCAACATTGGGTGGATACATGCTTCTACTCAATGATTAATTTGAATAAAACAGTAAAGTTTTTATTATTATAAATATCAATTGGCTCGGTTGAATAATTGCAAACGAACAGGCCGCAAAAGTTAGAAAGCAATGGCCATTGGCATTGTACGATAGTTACCTGACCTTCAAGGTAAATTTGTGCTCTATTAACCGATCAAAATTAGTTCTCAATGTATAAAATTATATAGTATGCCTATTGTTGGGAACAAACCCAACTGGATGTCTTATTAAATCCTTTATCATTCACCAATCATCATACGCTTCGTTTTATACTCTCGTTATATTTACTCTCGTTGTAACGTCGTTACATTTCAAATGTCAATATCGATATATCGAGGTTAACAAAGGTTTGCTGTAAAGAATTACATCGTGAAACCGTTAAAACATAAATCTAAGTTATCCTTAGTAGAAACAAGTTCAAAATATACTTACATCTATGGCGAATTTAAGTCATTTTATCTACATGTGTCACAATCAAAATATCAACAATTTGCGAAGCTTTCGTTATCACGCCTATATAAGAACTAAATACATTATGCTAAACTCGAAGAATTGGCGCGAAATAATTAACATAATTATTGCGTCTCTGTCTGGTCGTAACACCTATAGTTACCTTATGGCCAAGGATATCTTATGTAATTTTCCTTGCTCATTGATTAGGGACTTTTAGTAGTGACTACGAGTACAAGATTAGTCGTTTTGTATAGTTTCAAAGTCTTGTAGTGGTTTGCCTTTGCTTCGAATACGAAATTAGTTAACAAACTCATATATACTCAAATGCAAAAGCTCGATGACTATACGAGTTTTTGACGGGTGGCATTACATATTATGTATGACAGTAACTTGGTTAAGTTTTTGGCAAATGTTTAATATCTTAGCAAATCTGCACATAATCGTGCTTACGTTTGCGGAATCGATTGACCTACTTTCATCTATTGCTATGCCCATATACTTACTATAAATATGAAGTATCAAGTCTGATCAGTATTAAAAATGACATGAAAATGGCAAGTAGCGATTAAAAAAGATAGATACCAAACTATTGTAAAGCGAAAAGATTGAATTCCCTTTTACGCAATTTTAAAAAACAATGACAATGTTATTCGCTGCTTCGAACGTATAATTATTTTTAACGACAACAGCTGACAACTAGGTAAAGTTGATTGTCGAAGTCTTCTAAAGTTCACTTATTTGAATCACCACTTTCATGAATGGGGTGCATTCTGTACTCGTAAACTGCAATATGGCAACCTTCCAGTTGGCTTTAAAGATGGGTGCGGCAAAGCAAAACTTCTGGCAGGCCGAGTAAAGGCAACCAAATGGTCAATATTATACACGCCTGCGGCAGGCGTGTATAATATTGACCATTTGGTTGCCTTTACTTTAGTTTATCGACTGGGCATGCACAACCAAATACATCAAATTCAGGCAAAACACATTAAATATAACGATGCAAGCTATAAATTTTTAGGTATTTTCTTTTCTTTGTTTTTTGTACATTTCAACTCTGCATGTGTTTCTATTTATATATGTTAGAAAGACTTCATTTGACAAAATGCAAATATAGCGCACAATTTGTTGCCAGAGAGCTATTTTTACAGCAAGTGATTTCGCCCACAGCAAAAAACAGAAATGAAATGCCCAAAATTTCGGACAAAAATGAAAATAATTGAGTCCAAATCAGCTGAAACAAGTATACGTAATTTTTTATAGCGTCTGAAAAAACAAAACTCATGGATATTGGGTACATTTTGAAGCCAAATGAATCTGTAATAGATGTAATGTGCCTTTCACAATCCAAAGCATTTTTGAAGATTACATGTCCAGTATTTGATGATGAAAATAGCAGCTTTGACGTTGCAACAAATCACGACGCTCGAGAATCCATAAAAGACAATAAGAGCAACCGAAATGTATGCTCAGTAATCACTAGAAAGGTAGCCTGGAGTCAAGCCAAAAACATTTCCAGTTTCGTCTGCCTTTGCTGGGCTAGACAAGAAGTATCCATGGATTTTGAGCGAAAGGCATCAGTTGAAATTACAATTCACAGTACGTAAACACGCGGGCATTCACCTCAATCTTTATTGTAGTCTTGATCTTTAAGATTTAATGTCACCATTCTTTGAACTTTTTTGTTGTGTTAGCGAAGAAGAGACGGACAAGTACTGTTTTTCGTAGAAAAATCAAGAAAGGAAAGCACATACATCTGACTTGTTGCATAACTGGTCATCCTCGTCCTAAAATTACATGGTACAAAAATAATCACCCACTGAGTATAAACAAAAGCGCAGAAATAAACAACGTGACATACGAGCAAAAGGGAAGAAGCTTGGAGCAGATATTAGTAGTTCGGGATGTTACCAATGTTTAGGTCAAAATTTTGTCGGAGAAGCAAAGGGTGAAAAACACAGAGTGGAACTTTACGGTAAGTTCTATAAGTCATTTGGTGATTAAACCAATTATGGAACAAATTATTTGTGTGCAGTGATCATCCGCGAATGAAGCCAAAAATTTGCGAGACTTTACCTCCAGACACGCGTTTCTGGAGGTAAAGTCCAGCATATTTTGGCTTCACGAAAACAATGAGGAGGTATCGTTCCAGTTATTTATTACAGTTCACTGACTGTATAGCTCGTCGTCGTAGGTGTAAATATCCGAGCGGAATTAGTACCCTCGGGGACACTGATCTGAAATCAGTGCTCGGGGATTATAGTTCACTGGGAATTAATTAAGTATTAGCAGATTTTATTTCGTTCAAACTTCAAGGACCGTTCCTAGGCGAAGGTAAGATATATTTGCGATGAATGTTTATTTCTATGTCTCAATTGTGAATTGTGGTCCAGCAATTTCGATCGCAAACATATTTTCTATAAACGAGGGAATCGATCCCTCAACGATGCATGCAAAACCATAATATCTTTTCATTATTCATATATAATAATATTTAGATCGAATTGTGTTTGTGCACAATATTATTTGTGACAATAAATATGATATACCAATATCCAGTCGTGCTGCGCGTAGTAATAAGGGCGTATCGAAAAATTCAAGTAAACCCGGGCCATATAGTTGCTCACGCTGCACCCCACAGATCTGGCATCATTTACGTGAAAGGTTACAGACCAAAACTGATCCAAGCTGTTGTGCAGGTATTGAAATTAAAACCTGCAATTTGTTCAGGTGTTGAACCTAGCCATTGGGCCATATTCCTATTCCATATACATATATTGAACCTAGCCATATTCAAACAAGACACCTGCCAATTATTAGACAGCTAATGTGTTGTAGAGACTGTGACAACAGGTTGTGCAGTCTTAATGGCAAACGTAGGAATCAAATGCTATGAATGTTTTAATTACTTCAATGTATTCTACTTGCCTATAATTGACAAGTCAATTAAATAAAAGTCAAAAGAACAGCGCGAATTGTACTTGTGGTATGTTCAAATGATATACTGTCAATTGTGTCATAATATGTATGTGCGAATGTTACTTTATAAGATTAACTATCAACTATTAATAATATAGTTGATTCGGCCTGTACAGTACATACCAATTCATACATGCTAGTAAATAGTGTGTAGTTATGTCAGTGTAGGCAATTTTTGTTTACAAAGAAGTTCAATCAGTCAATATTTGGAATCTGAACCTAGCCATTGTGTGAGTATATATTCAAACAAGACACCTCCTGTCTATTAATTATTAGAGAGTTAATAATGTGTTGTACAGACTGCATGCCACTACAGGTTGTGCAGTCTTAATGGCAAGCTTAGGAATCAAATACTATTGTTTTACCTGAATGTATTCTACTTGTGGTATGTATACTGTCAATTGTGTCATAATGTGTATGTGCGAATGTTAATAAGTCTGTCAAATGACATGGCAAAAAATCCAGACCATAGGACTATTAATAATATAGTTGATTTGGCCTGTACAGTACATGCTAATTTTTATCTGGGGAATTTAATAATTGATATGGTCATATGGATGCTAGTAAATAGTATGTAGTTATGTCAGTGTAGGCAATTGTTTACAAAGAAATTCAATTAGTCAATATTTGGAATCTGACCCTAGCCATTGTGCGGGTATATATTCAAACAAGACACCTCCTGCCTATTATTAGACAGTAAATATAATGTGTTGTACACACATCCACAACAAGTTGTGCATGCAGTCTTAATGGCAAGCTTAAGAATCGAATACTATTGTTTTACGTCAATGTATTTTACTTGCCTTTTACAATTCAATTAAATAAAAGTCAAATTAAAAGAACAATGAATTCTACTTGTGGTATGTTCAAATATTATACTGTCAATTTTGTCAATATGTGTATGTGCAATTGTTACTAAGACTGTTAAATGACATGGCAAAAAATTTAGACCCTATATACAGGATTATTAATGATATAGTTGATTCGGCCTGTACAGTACATGCTAATTTTTATCTGGGGAATTTAATATTTGATATGGATGCTGGTAAATAGTGTGTAGTTATGTCAGTGTAGGCAATTGTTTACAAAGAAATTTAATCAGTCAATATTTGGGATTGGTCAATTCGAGACACAATTTTAATAAGTAGGAACAGTTGGTATAATATTTTCAGCCAAAGTTTAAATAAAAGTTCTTTATTCTTAACTGATGTCCTGAAGTTTGTGAATAGATTGGTTCCACTAATCTGAAATTAGTGATTGGTTTCAGAGGCTTTCACATTCAAATGCTACCCACATGTACCTATTTTTTCAAACGTTATGTAGTGCAATTCTAGATGTTTAAAGGGCTTTATTTCTAGTGAAATTATACACAATTCAAATTCAAGCCAGGAACAGTTGATTGAAAAATAAGTCAACTGTAGGTCCTCCGGCAGGAATCCGGCGAACCTACGCTTTTGCGATGCCGGTGCAATGCTCTTGCTCTTGCTCTTGCCACAGAGGTGGCCGGCTGACAAGAGCAAGCGTGGTTAATGTGTAAAGGATAGTAATGCCGGGAATAGGTGAGGGTAAATCAATTGTTATTTTGGTACTTCACTCGATGGACGTGAATTCTAAGGTTTAAGTGGTATTAATTTAAAGTGTAACTATACACACTTCAAATTCAAGCCAGGAACGGTTGATGGAAAAATGAGTCAACTATAGGTCCTAACGTACGTTCGATTCCTGCCGGAGGACCTATATATATAGTTGACTCGTTTTTCCCATCAAGTGTTGCTGGCTTGAATTTGAAGTGTGTTACCCTTTAAACCTCTACAATTTGTCTACATCGAGTTATGTAGTACAGTATTTTCCCGTCAAAGGTACACATCTGTTGGACGCGCAGACGTTCCACACTGCATGAATATTTGAGGGCAACAGCAAATATCCAAGTTATAAGCTTGTGCAATTTAAACTCGTGTGCATTTTATACAAAATGCATGCCTCTTCCCTGCATTGAAGATTCATATTCTTTTTATGATGGTATGATTTCATTGTTGTGAATATAATTATAAAGTGTTATGTTGTTTAACAGTCGCTGCAGTTTGTAGCGCAGACGATGCAACTTAGGCTCAAGGATTAAGGAAGAAAGTACGTTAACGTGATAACAGAAACCAGAATATGAGATTGCATAGCGTTGACAACAATATACAAAATATGCATGCACAACTTTACGAATAGCATTTACCTTGCGCACAACAGTATCCAAAAGTATATATAGTTTGAAGGCGCAGACGTTACACACTGCATGAATAATATTTGAGGGCAACAGCAAAGACTCATTGCAAAAACATCTTTCAATATTACATGGCGTTGACATATCGATACAAGTTATCGCCTTGTGCAATTCAAACTTATGTATTTCATACAAAATGTAATTTAAAAAGGCATAAAAAATGCATTTCATTCTTAATTGTAATCTGATCTTGATTAGCATAATGACGCCTTGCATGTATATCTCTTACATAGATTTTTCCCTTCATTCCGCCTTGATATTAACTTCTTCATCGGAAAGAACATTTATTTTGCCACTAAGGCTTGAAAACCACTATAGCTTAATTATTCTGTGATTTGAATATTTTCTGGTCACCGCAAAAAGGTACATATTATTCATATAATTTCTCACATAGATTTTTTTCTTCATTTTGCCTTGATATTCACTTACACTTAATTTTGCAACTTACGCTTGAGAATCACTGTACTTTTGTTTCTCTGTGCATTTCTGCGCAATCATTAGGCCATTATACGTCATAAATTGAAGTCCAAGTTATTGCAAAAAGTTAGATGTCATTCGAAAGACTGATAAATGTGTACTGAATACTAAAATTTGAGAACATTTGTGTGGATAGATAATGAGAAACCATAACTGTAAACTTTTAGTACTTTTCTCAATTGTAATCCAATCTGTAATAGCGCCCTATAATTATAATCTCTTACACAGATTTTTGTTTCATTCTGCCTTGAAATTCAATTCCGGATCCCATTGAAAATTACATTTATTTTGAGATTTTTGCTTGAGAATCACTGAAGTTTTGTTTCTCTGTGCAAATTTCTGTGCAATAATCATGCCATTATACATTATAAACTGAAGTCCAATTTATTGCAAAAAGTTAGATGCCATTCGAAAGACTGATAAATATGTACTGAATACTAAAATTTGAGAGTATTAGTTAGCATATATAATAAGAAACCTTAACTCTAAATATTTAGCACGTTTCTCATTTGTAACCTCACCTCGATTAGCATAATTGCGCCCTATATAATCATCTCTTATAGATGATATGTTTTCCGTCACTTTGGCTTGGTAGTCACTTTTCTATTGGAAAATACTTTTAATGTTGTAACTTATCGTTGGGAATCGTCAGCTAATAATTGTATAACATGTGTGTTAATGTGTAATCTCAAGGCCTGAAGTATAGCTACGTTTCAGTTTCTCCTTTCCGCAATGCATGTTTGTGCATATATGTTTGTTTTGTATATTGTTGTTAACGCTCTCTTATCACGTTAACGTTCTTTCTTCTGAGTAATCCCTTAATGCTTGAGCGCAAGTTGCATCGTCTGCACTACAAACTGCAATGCACATGTTTAAGCGGTACAAGTTGATAACTTGGATATATATGTCAACGCCATGTAATATTGTAAGATGTTTTTGCACTCGAGTCGTTGCTGTTGCCCTCAAATATTCAGTGTGTAACGTCTGCGCCTTCAAGTGATGTGTACTTTTGATGGGAAAACACTGTATTAAATTAATAATGTTTGAAACAATCTTATATATGCGTGTGGAAGTTGTGCAAAAGTTGAACTTACAGTCCTAACCTCATCAATTTGACCATTTCTTGTCATGTGGAAATAGTACTTTTGATTTTTTTGCACACTACCCTAATTTCTGTTTTGGCAACTGACTTTGGCAAATTGCAACATTAATAGCGGCGGTGAAAGGATGATAATAATTATACTAGTTAAAAATTCTACCTTTCAATCATTGAACACAGTCTTGAGGCCCAATAAGAGGCCCAATCTGAGACGGAATAAAAAAATCTAAACCTTTTTAAACATTCAAAATCGTAGATTTCAGTTACCATCCATTTTAATTAAAGTTTTTTCTGTCCGATCGCAGTTTTCGCATTGCTTTTGAATGAATTTTACGAGTGAATTTTCTATATTTTGTTTCATTTTGATAAAAAGTAGCTATAGCTTAAAAACAGCAGTTACGCTGATGCGAACCAAAATTTTAATTTAGTCAGTCGCATGTTTACAATGTTTGCTAGATTCCAATGTCAACTCGTCCTAAACTCACACATGCGCATGACTTACAAAAACGCCCAATGTCCATGACATAAACCCCGGGAGGAAGTAGTAGCCTCGTTCGGCGCTTCGAGCCTGCTCGGAGATTAAATACCTTAATATTAACCATAACAATGCACATGCAATTACCGTTCACCAGGAACAATAACAATTTTAGAATTTTTAATTCTTTCTATAGGCCGAATTCACTGCGTAATATGAAGGGAACATACTTGAAAACTTGGGTATTTTGCGTACTTGCTATACGGAGTCTTTTCGACGGGATTGACGAGTACCTTATTGCAGCGTCAGCCTGGTATTATGTGAAATCACTAGGAGGAGACAAAACTTTTTTCGGCATCGTCATGACTGCATACCAATTCAGCGCTCTTCCATTCAGTCCTATCATCGGAAGACTAGCAGACAAATTTGGTCATGTTAAATTCATCATCGTCGTTAGTTTGTTTCTTAGGGCTACCGGCTACGTGATCTATTCAATCCCAGTCTCAGCCTATTTTCCCTTAGTAGGAAGATTATTAGCTGGTATTTCCAGTGGATCTGGTGGAGTATTTCTTGGACAAGTATCATTGTACACACCTAAGAGATCTCGCGCACAATTTTTCATTGTATTGGAAGTGTTATTTACTTTGGGAACTCTTTTGGGGCCAACCGTCGGCGTATTTTTGACCTTCAATGTTAATATCCTTGGTTGGAAAATTGATGCTGGTAATTCTCCAGGAATTGTTATTGCTCTAGTGTGGTTTGTAATTTTCCTAATTTCGCTGTGGTTACCGAAGGAGTTTGGAACAGTGATGGTGAAAGATGACGAGGACGAGGGCGATGACGATGATCCTGCGACTCGCGACTGGAGTAAACGGACAAAATATATTTCTTATTCTGCAATTTTTTTTATATTTTACCTGGTCATTTTAGGCCTCTTTTTCTCAAACACGGTCGCAATTTATGTTCCCTTGCTTGCAGAAAACCACTTCCATCTGCAATTCATTCATGTGAAAATGTTATTCCTTGTTTGTTCTTTATTTTCTATGGTTCTTTTCATCGTGTTCTACATTGCTGCGAAATATTACCATGAGACTCAATTGCTAATTGTTTCGATGATAATGCAGGTATCTGCAATATTTTTATCAACCTTTATCGCTTTTAGTTGGGATAGTGGGTTTGGTGTTTACGGTGGATATATTCTCATTCCTTACATCTGTCTTGGATTGCCATACCTTTCATATTCTTTAGGTTCTTCGCTCTTGTCTAAAATAACACATCCAAAAGACGCCGCTTTTTACCAATCCTCATCGCTTGCCGCACTTCACGTAGGATTTTTGTTGGGTGGTTTGCTCTCATCCAACATATTCTCCAAGACATCGCTTTTGTGTTATTGTTTGGTGCAGTTTTTATGCTGGGCACTTAGTGCTGTCTGGTTTGTTTTCCAGTATCCCTACTTACGAAATGCAGGAGTGGATGTAATTTAACTTGGCTTGAAGTACTTTTATGCTGGCTTTTAACAATGGGGGACCGGTACCGAAATATGCGTAATTACGCCACGCGAAAATGTTATTAATAATGATGTTTTGAAAAAAGATATTCAGTCATAGCGTAGCCCAGGCTTTGAATGCAATTTTTATAGAAGACACCTTATACGACTAAAATTTTAGGTTCTATACTCTCAAACTGGCGGACTATTGGCCAAACCAGCGAGCATTTTTCTCGAATAAACGTTATAGGTCCTGTTTACAATATTGCGGATTTGCATGCATGGTCACGATATGAAAACTAACCAAGTCAAAGGGAGTTTTACTCCTGAAAGTATGTGATAACATTATTGCTTTAACATCATCTGCCAAATGAAAAAGTTCTGAAGACAGAGATATTGTAAAACAACTTGAACTTATGTCGTGACCATGTGAATCCGGTATAGTGTAAACGGGGTCATAATAATTATGTGTCATTGTTCTCACACAATTGATCAGTAAATATTTCTGTCACCGACAGTCTGTTAATAGCTATAAGTATATTTGGCCACTGCTTGCTTGTAACTTTATTAGTCTGTGTGATGAGATTTTTATAATAATAAAGACGAAATAACACTGACTATTATATCAGACTTTGCATCCCTTTTTTTCTTGTTTTAATATTCTTCTTATATTTGGAAGTCTATACTTGTTATATACTTATATGATCTATTTTGTATGTTTCTAAATTGCTCATTTCCCGTGATTACTAAAGAAATTCTAAAGCTCTTTGTGAATCCAATTATTTCCGTAGCAACAGAATGCAAATAATTATACAAGATAGCCTACATAATATAATTGTGCACAAAAATTATCAAGGATGGTATGGTTGATTAAACAAACATATATTCGGTCGTCGGAATTAAGCGAGAATATTTGAGTCTAAATTTTACTGAGAATGTCTCATTTCATTTTACAGTGAAAGATTTCGTTTAGTAATTTCGCACCACTCACTTATGGGGGTATTCAATACAGGTTTTCAAGGCAAAACCATTTGGATCTTGCTTTATATTTTTATATTCTTTTCACCTTCAAGGAATCGAGTCTCATGCAGTCTCAGACTCAAGGAATTGAAAGGTATGGTTTTGATTTTTTGTCTTTTCAGTCATTATTATGTATGACAATAGCTTCGTTACATTTTTGGGAATAATATCTTATATAGCAAATCTGCACATAATTATGCTTACGTTAGCAGATTCGAATGACCTACTTTCATCTATTGCTATGCCCATATACTTAATTTGAATACAGATATAAATATGAAGTACCAAATCTGATCAGTATTAAGAATGACATTAAAATAGCAAGTAGCGATTAAAAAAGATACCAAAGTGATACCAAAGTGATAGATACCAAACTAAAGCGAAAAGGGGGAATTCCCTTTCACGCAATTGTAAAAAACAATGACAACGTTATTCCTCTTTCGAACGTATAAATATTTTTAATATAACGACAACTAGGTAAAGTTGATTTCTGAAGTCTCTAAACTTTACTTATTTGAATCACCACTTTCATGAATGGGGTGCATTTTGTACTCGTAAACAGCAATATGCCAACCCTCAAGTTGGCTTTAAAGAAGGGTGCGGCAAAGCAAAACTTCCGGCAGGCGTATATATATTGACCATTTGCTTGCCTTTACTTTAATTTATCGACTGGGCATGCACATCAAGATACTTTAAATTCAGGCAAAACGCATTAAATATAGCGATGCAAGCTAGAAATTTTTAGGTATTTTCTTTTCTTTGTTTCTCTTACATTTCAATTCTCTGTTTCTATTTACATATGTTAGAAAGCCTTTATAATTATTTGACGAAATGCAAATTTAGCGCGCAATTTGTTGCCAGAGAGTTGCTTTTACACCCAACTTTTTCGCGCACAGCGAAAAACAGAAATGAAATGCCCAAAATTTCGGACAAAAATGAAAATAATTGTGTCCAAATCAGCTGAAACATATATACTTATTTATTTATAGCGTCTGAAAAAACAAAACTCGTGCATATTGGGTACATTTTGAAGCCAAATGAATCTGTAATAGATATAATGTGCCTTTCACACTCCAAAGCATCCTTGAAGATTACATGTCCAGTATTTGATGATGGAAATAGCAGCTTTGACATTGCAACAAATCACGACGCTCGAAAATCAACAAATGACAATAAGACCAACCGAAATGTATGCTCAGTAATCACTAGAAAGGTAGCCTGGAGTCAAGCCAAAAATATTTCCAGTTTCGTCTGCCTTTGCTGGGCTAGACAAGAAGTATCCATGGATTTTGAGCGAAAGGCATCTGTTGAAATTACAATTCACAGTACGTAAACACGCGGGCATTCACCTCAATCTTTATTTTAGTCTTGATCTTTAAGATTTAATGTCACCATTCTTTGAACTTTTTTGTTGTATATTAGCAAAGAAGAGAAGGACAAGTACTGTTTTTCGTAGAAAAATCAAGAAAGGAAAGCACATACATCTGACTTGTTGCATAACTGGTCATCCTCGTCCTAAAATTACATGGTATAAAAATAATCACCCACTGAGTATAAACAAAAGCGCAGCAATCAACAACGTGACATACGAGCAAAAGGGAAGAAGCCTGGTAATAAGTAGATCAGATATTAGTATTTCGGGATGTTATCAATGTTTAGGTCAAAATTTTTTCGGAGAAGCAAGGGGTGAAAAATACAGAGTGGAACTTTACGGTAAGTTCTATAAGTCATTTGGTGATTAAACCAATTATGGAATCAATTATTTGTGTAATAAATAATAATTTAAAATACTGCTATCCGAGTTTTAATTTATAGCTATTTTCATTATTCTTAAGACAAATGAGATAAAATGCCGGTTGCAGTGTTGTAGCATTATAGATAAATAAGTATCTGCCCCAAAATTTTAAAAGGCAACTGGTTTTAGAAAATGTTTTCCCATTCTGCTAGTAACCAAACCGAAAATTATCAATCAGCCTGTGCAGCCACGTGAATCCAACCACTATTCTTTTCAAGGTATGTTTTCACCAGGAGATTTTGAATTGTTTACAAAGAGCCTTCTCGGTTTTTTCCCAAAATTTTCCACAACTTCCAGCTTTTTTCGTAAACTGGTGTCTTGTGCACTTTCGTAAACTGGTGCAAATTTGTAGACTTTTGTTTAACTTTTACCTTCATTGGCCCAAATGTGGAAACACTGATTTCCATGGGTTAAACCAATATACAAATTTACAAACTTTGCAAGGCTATATTTTTTGCATTTTACGACATTTTGCAACCAAGCTTTGCATTTTCACTAATTTTGATGATTTGATTGTATTATATTGAATAGATAAAAATGTGGTCAATGATGCAAAATTGCTTTTCATAATTGACATTTTGCAATCTGCAATTTACTGACGTCAGTTATTTTTTATTTATCAAGAATACGTTAAGAGAGAAAATAAATCGGATGAGAATGGAGGTAGGTTCCAAGAGTCCATGTTCTTTGAGGATTTCACTGATTGTGTACGCGTTTTAGTCATAGAGAACTATTTTTTCGTATCTCTGGTTTCCAGAAAGACTGTAGCGTATCCTCTACACCGGATCAAAGAGTATGGTTTCATTGGTGTTTGAGGCATTTAGTTAATCGTAGTTGAAAAAACAGGCGGATAAAAGAATATTTTCTCCTGATACGTTCTGGAGGTTTATTTTTCTCACCAGAAACAAACCTACTACAGCCGAAATATACTGCAGAGCTAAACGTCCGAAAATGGTCACACTAGAAATGACACTTCCTACAAAATTGTCATTACTGAGTGGAAAATGCCTAGCATGCACTGTACGATAAAAATAATGACCATGCAATACTCATGGACAAGTTGGTAAATACCACTTTACCGAAAGTGTCGTTTTTTTGGTGTGGCCAGTCTCAGATATTTTGCTTTGGGCAACGTTACCATGTTAACCCTTGCCCTAAAACAATTGATAGAAAAACTCATGAGTTTTTCTATACCATTTTGTCTTTAGTGGCAGAGCCGACTAAGCAACAGCAGAAAAAAACCGGTAACCCTTATTTCAAAAGTAAGTAAAAGGCCTATAATTTCAAAAATCAAATAGTTACCAGTGATAAACAAACTCAACAAATTAAAAATTAGAAAATGCGTTCTGTTGGTCGGGGCAGTCTGTATAAATTCCCGAAATACAGTTAAAGGCCCACGGCAACGTTTAGTCTGATTATTGCATACCGGCGACAAAGGGTAACTTTGACGTACATCCAAATCGTTCAATCATAACGAATTTAAAGATTTCATAAAATTATTGAAGAAGATGAAAGCGAACTTCAGGTGAACATGCAGTTTGTTTATTTTGTGAGCCCTATAGCAAATTCCTGAAGAAAAAAATCCCTGAAGTTTCATAATCATTCTCACTCATATAATTTTGAGCACTTTAACATATCGTAAAGATAACCGACTTAATTTACCTTTTAAAAACTCTTTGAAAATAAAGTCTTTCGATTCACTGATGTAAGGTATTTAGTCTATCGTTTGAGATGATTCGTTTCTCGCTCTTTAGAGTTTATAACGAAGGCACACGAGACAAATGATGACGTGGGTATGTCATTTTTTATTTAGTGCCCCGAACGATGAAATATCGTTTTCAAAGCGGTACACCGCGAGTGATAACTCACGATTCATTGACACAATACTATATTATAACTGATCGAAAATATGCATGGACATGTGTTCGACGAGTTTTGTGACAAGTGGCATCCATAACCTTTTCCTAGACCTTTTCGTGTCTGCCTTTGAGCTTTTTCAGATGTTTTAATTAACCATACGAGGATTGAATATACTTTTGTTTTTGCTTTAGGCTATATTAGCAAAAAAACTTCCAATTTTTATATTCCATTTTTAAGTGCGCATTATAATAAAGCGTAATACACCAATATCTCGTATTAATTTTTTAAAGTAAAAAGTAATACATTATTTTAATTGTCTCAATTTTTACACTTTCTACTCCTGAGATAGAAAACGAGGAAGGTCAAAACAAAAGAAAGAACGGCTTGGGTATGTAACTTTTTATCGATTTCTCATTATCATCTTTTGCAAGAAGGCATAGCGAGCGTAAATATTTTGTACAGTAAATTAATCAGACCAATCAGAGAAATGGTTTGAGAAACCACACATCATATTATTCTCTTCGCTCTCTCGATTAAGCGCCGCGTTTGAAGATAATTTTTTAAGAGAGCGCTGCCCTTGAAAGAGATCGCCGCAATATTAATTTTCAAATGGGCACGTAATGGAAGCGCCGTAAGAATCGCGTTAAGGATCGTAGAAAAAATGAGGACGCAAATAATTAAAACAGCCAACAAGAAGAAATTTTATTTTGAACTATAATCGGGAAAATTTGTTTCCATTTTTCAGGCTAAGCAAAAGAGAACGCCTACACTTTTAATACTTCATGTAAAATAATGCAACTTTTAGATATAGTCACTAGTCAATGTCGTAGCAAGCCTGACAATTTAGTCATGCTATGCTAATATTTTGGTGTTCATTGACTGTGAAAACAAAGGATTTCTAAAGAGTTTATTGCTCTAATGACCAGATATAAAGTAAATTTTTGAAGAGCGCCATCCCCAATTCAACGCAAACCTGAAATAAACGCTGCAACGCACTGTTGTATCAAGGTCGCGATTGTAAGATGGCTCTCTAAATTTTCATGAGTACTATATTGAAACTTTCGAGAGACATACCAAGATCTAAAAGATAAAAGCATGCTTGGGCAAAAACTATGCGATTTCGATTTTATTAGAATTGCGTAATTATTAGCTTGGTGACCACGCAAGTAATTTATTCACAATTCGCGACGGGCGGGCGCAAATTCTTAAACCCGGCAATCAGGAAAGGCGAAAAATGAAATTCAGTGAATAAAGTTCGGGTTTTTTTAGTGCCTTGGTGCCATGACCTCGAATACCCACTGATAGACAATTCTAGTCATTAAATAATGTACTGGGTGCAGTTTTTATGAGTAAAATATTTATCTTCATTCTAGGAACTATAAAGATGATAGGAATGATAATAGGAGTTGCGGTTTTTGTTTCTTTGGCTGTCCTTGTTTTGTTCATCTTCAGACATAATTTCTTACTAAAGTGCCAGTGTACGCCAAGTAAGAAACATTTGTAAATTATTGTTCAGTATAAATAATTACAAGTTAATTAGGGAGCTTTAGCAGTCACTACGAGTACGACTACGACTACGAGATTCGTCATTCTCGCGCTTTGTTTGCTTATGCCATCAGCCAAAACTCGTAGTCGTTGGGCTTTTGAGTACGAGTTTGTTGGCAAATTTGTAAGCAAACAACGCGCGAGAATGACGAATCTCGTACTCGTAGTCGTACTCGTAGTCACTGCTAAAGCTCCCTATTATCTATATTTGTATCTTGAAGGTATGTTAACAGAAACAACAGAAACAACAGAAACAACAGAATATAGAAATTCAACAACACGGACGGAATGTACGATTGTTTTCGAAGAAGACGCCCCTGCCTTTTCTCGGTTATTTGTGGATACTTTGAATTCAGACGGTATTAACGATTACCACAAACAAGACTCGCCTTCCCAAGACTCTATGCAGTCGAATACGTCAGCGCTGTTTAACGAACTTAATAGGATTCCTCCAAATGCTGATCCGAGGTAGTTTGGAAAGTCTTATATGAATGAATTATTGCGGACGCCTCAACTGTGATTGGTTTTCAAGAAACAATTCGTACTGGGCATTCCAACAAACCTAAAAACTCGTTTGACAGAGCTAAATCCACACTCAGTATTAAAAACGTGCTGGTGGCATCCTGAACAATCTCCACTGATGGATGCATCTTTAACCGAATTATATACTAGTATATTATCTTTAGAGCACCTATTCAAATGTAGCTTTTTGACCATTGGATGCATCATATTTTTTTGTTTTGCATAGTTTAATGTTCTTGAACATTGTCTAACATAATTTAACTCTCTGCTAAATACGATTAGGGATAGAAAGTGCGTTGTAGCTCGGCTGGTGTTTGTCAACTGTCTAAATTGCTAACTGGAAATTTCAATATGCATGTCTAACAATAAGTTAATTCGCGAGAGGCACATCGCCTCCGACCTGATTTACACTTAAAAATGAAAAACATTAATACGTTTAAGAGACGCATAGCATTTCATTCAAATGAATGGGGGGGGAGGTGGTGGGCAGAACGAAATAACAATTTCACAACAACGCAAAATTTTTATCCCAATTACCTTTTCGTTTGAGAAAAATGTACTATGGTGAAACGCATTTAAAGATGGATTCCCACTAAGCGGAATTTGCGATCATACAAAATTTTCCGTCGATTTTTTTTTCAATTGTGGCCAATTAAGTAAACCTGTTTCGAACGATTTCTCATAATTGAAATCTCTCAAAAGAAAATTGAGTGAAAATTTTCCTTCGATTAAAAAATTCCGCCTGGTGGGAAGAAATTCAAATTCTTTATTTCTCCTTCAAGGTATTTTACAAGTCTTTTAGTCAACCACCATGGTGGAGAGGTAATCCTACACGACACTGGAATAAAGCTGGTTATCCCTGAAGGGGCTATAGATGTTGGAAAAACCGAAGTAATTTCCCTTGCATTGCCTAAAGAAAAATTAGACAACAACAATGACTTTATGCCGCCCAAAATTATCAATAATGGGACTTTGCTCACTCCAATTGTCATATGTGGTCCACATGGATTCCATTTCAAAAAGAACGTTCTTTTAATCCTTCCGCATTGTTTGGTTGTTGATGATGAAGTGGAGACAAATTTTCGAGGTTTTAATTTGCTTATACATAATAATATAATTTGTAATACCGGTGTCAGGTGGCAGCAATCTAATTATCTTTGTTGTTTTGTAAAGTTATATTTTGCTGGTAAAAGAGCCTGATTAATATTTGCGCAGAAAGCCAATATTTAGCCGACATTTTTACAAAAAATCTAGCAGAAAATACAATTAATTTTATAGTTACAATTTAATTGCCAACATGACGTCTTTCCAGCAAACATTTTACATATCAATATCCATCACTATAATTATATAGTTCATTGCAGTGATACCAGACCAGGCATTCCACCCGAATGGAAAGAAATTTTTAACACATCATTGGCACAAAGTAAAGAAGTATTTTGTCATATGGGAAAGCAACATTTTAGTCTCTTTGTTCAACATTTCTCATGGTACTTCATCGAGGGTGAAGGAAATGCAAAAAATTTCAGTGTGGCGGCTTACCACACGAGTTTTCACCAACCAGATGAAGCTTTTAAAGTGAGGATTTACTTGATCCCAAATATGGAGGGATCTTCTGTTAGTGAAAAGGTATTGTCGTGGGTACTGTTTGAAGTCAAGTATTTTTATGCCTTTTCCTCAGAGAAAACAGATAAATTATTTTCAACTATTTAAACTGTTTGAGGTGAATATTCAACATATGATTATACGCAGACGATATAGTCCTTATTTGCTTAGCAATCAGGTTTGAAAAATAAAATATTACTTTGTACGAATAACTGGAAAAAAGTCTTTTTTCCTTTACTGAACAATATGAAAATCAAGCTCTTTGCTCAATGTGGTTTAACAGAATTTTTTGCAAGTATTCAAAATTCCCGAAAGTATTCAAAACAGTTGAACATATCCGCTTTTTCCATTTAAATTTTTCTACTTTATGTAACGACAGAAAGTTCAAGAATGTGAGAATAGTCTTCAAGGAACACTCTGTGATGGTTTGAAACTAAAAATATTCCACCAAGATGGCGGTAACCTAAAAATTGAAGCAATCGAAATAAATGATGGGTGGAAATTATTTGGAAGAAAAACTCAGGTATGGAATATAAAACGTGAAAGTGCTCATCGTCGACAAAACCAGTTAATACACGCTTTTGATATTATGTTTTACAGTGAATAGGAACAAGTCCACTTTTGCTGTTTTGCAAACCAAAAAAAAAGAAGGCAAAATTGTCTAAAACCCTGAAAACAACTACTTTTTTAATATTTTGTTTCGCTATATTTTATTACAAATCACTCATGAATTGTGACCCTCCACGGGAAAACCAACATTAACGGTTTGAAAAAACGGGCTGAAATACCGTTTGCTATCCGTTTTCTATCCGTGAAAATCAAAAACGGTTGCCGTTTAAAAATTTTAAACGCCCGTTTAAATTTTTTGGCTTGGCGTTTAAACGGTTTGTTCAAAACGTGAAAACGTTTTGACTGATCCGTGAAAACGTTTTGACCGATCCGTGAAAACATTTTGGTACAGCTGTAAAAACGTTTTGATAGGGCCGTAAAAACGTTTTGGTTAAACCGTGAAAACGTTTTGATAGAGCCGTAAAAACGTTTTGGTAGGGCCGTGAAAACGTTTAATTAAACCGTGAAAATGTTTTCGTAATCAGGTTTCACCTAACCACTCAAACGTTTCCGCTAGCGTGCAATTAAATATATCTATCCGACAGTCGGGACCCTTGAAAAGTTTAATATCGTATAAAACTACATATCAAAGTATATTATTCTATATCGAAGGCAAGCAAAATCTGTCGAATATCCAATTGAAATCCCTATCACTGATTATTGCGTACAAAGAAGTATGATTGACCCAAAATATGTGTCTGTCGAGGATCTTTCAATAAAGTATATTATCACAGAAGACACGGTGATGCCGCCACTGGTGATTTGCCAGCTTGCATTGCCAGAAAAAATGTGATTTTGAAATATAATCACCTGGGTCCCAAAAATCCTGTTTTTTTTCGCAATTATAAATATAGCTATTTCTAATGCGTGTGTGAAGATATCTAATTTATGATTTATGACAGCAATTAGATTCTATACATATAGCTACTAAGCAACTATCTGGGATGTAAATATAATAAAACTATAACGGGAAATATCTCATATTTGTTTTTATGCAAATATATAGATTCCAATACGTATAATAAAGTTCTACAAATACTTATATAGATGACAATACGTATAATAAAGTTCTATATATACACAATTACTTATAGCTCTGGTTCGCAAACTGTTTTGACGCACATTCTTTTATCTCCTATATAAACACCAATTTGGCACGACCAAACAACTTTAACATTCATAACCATGCATTTCGCGATCCATTTTGGCAAAAACAACGAATTATTGCGTTATATAGCATCGCGTGCAAGCTTCCTGTTATTTCACATCAACTTTCATCCTGTTTACCTATTACACTCGCATTGTAGTGCATGCATGCATGCGTGTATACATTAGCTATATAACATATACATTATAGCATATACACGCTATACTACACATATACGCACAATATTTTCAACAAGGTGCATTTAACCAATTTTCGCCAGTGCATGCGTGTCGAAGTTTGAAAATGGGTTGTAAAAATCGACATGATATATGTAAACTCGCCATTTTTCTGCCATATCGCCTTTTTGGACTGTAGTTATGTATATGCTTTCATTTTGAGAGCACATGCACGACTATACACATGCAGTCATATAATAATTATATAGTGTTATGCTGTATAACCAGATTAATGAGATTATTCTAATCCGTACTTAAAATATACGCAAAAATTTAGATGTCATTGAAAAGATTTGACCTCTGTCGGAAAATTTGAGCTCCATGTCAATAGCTAATCTTATTTAACTAAAAATTATTGGTGGTCACAAAATATCTTTAAAAATTTCATCAGGAAATACTTTATTTCCTTCCATACTTTATAGAGCATCTGCTCAAAGATTAACGGCTGTATTCAAAAAGCTCACTCACACTCGCACTCATTGAGTGTGACTTAGAAATTTTGCTATTGCTGCTCAATGAGAAAGTTATTTCTGAATAGGTGGAAAGATTTAAGGTAAAAAACTGAAGATCATGCCTCTATTCGACTGGAAATACCGCCATGTAAACGCCATGAGAAGATTAAGATATCCCACTCAATGAGTTGAGTGTGAGTAAGCTTTTAGAATACGGGCGTAAGAGTAGAATGTTATCTGCATACGCTATCTGCGCTACTATATACCCTGCATCAAAAAGAAGTTTTTGTTAGTTCAATAATATAGGAAGGCCCGGCGTTCCGTAATCCGAAGGTCAAGATTTTCGCCCTGAAAAGCAACTTAATACTCCATCCCGGCGCCAATTAAGGTGAACAAAATTTTTAACTAAAGCATATAGCAATAGCATACTGCTCATCTAGAAACAGCGGTTCGAAAGCCTCAAAAATGCGCACAACCTTTTTGCAAAGCATATAGCAGTGCAGTCGCCCATATAGAAACGACAATCCGAAACGCACGCACGGGGGAGTTTATACTCACCATCATAACAAAAAAATCAATCCACATCATCTTCGAGACATCTAATTGTGACACAATTTGTGCCCCCTGCCTACGATAACCCAAGCAAGACTTCTCCAGAAATATTATGTGTTGATGAATAAAATGTATCTACTGACTCTCGTGTCTGGAGAAATCTTATTTGCTTGTCCTGCCTGTCTCAGCTTAGCAATTAATAAGGTTGCATCTGCACACAAATTACTTGGGAATTTGCATACAATTTTTGGTAAAGAAAAATTTTTGGTGGTTTGAGTGCATATGCACCTATCAGCGGCGTAGCCAGAACGATGATTGGGGGGGTCCATATTCATATATTCGTGATACGCAGGATTAATTTCTTTTCAAATCAATTGTCTGTACAGTCTGTTTACATGAATATATGAATATGGACCCCCCCAATTATCGATGCTGGCTACGCCAGTGGCACCTATTTATGTTATCTCAGTTTTGTGACCACCCAATTAAAGTTCTCAAACCTCTTTGAACCTCTGGCAAACGATGTTCGATTTTACGATGTTCGACTGAACCAAAGTGATCTTGACCAAACAGCAACTTTCTTTTGTCATATAGTCTACAAAAATTTCATATAAGCCTTAGAGTGTACAAGTGTTATATATATGTTCTATTTTACGTCATTATGTTATAGTAATACACTGTATTGCAGTTGGCACTTAATATGCACACAAGGCAAAAAAAATAAAGTTTTGATCGAGCCAACAGTAATACAAGATCTGATGATTCATGATTTCATCGATAGAGCCTGATTTCAATGCTTGACGGGAATTATTTCCAAGCGCGACTCATAAAGTATTTTTAATCAGACATGCCTTATATCCAACACTACAGTCTAGAAATTAAATTAATAAATATTCAATATGTGTTCATACCTTTATATGCACGTGTTAAAACACCTCGACGTATCCATAGATATCAATATCCAGCAAATATTTGGGATAGCGGGGCTTTGCGAAATTATTGTTAAAGATCTTTAGCCGCGCGCTTATATGAATTTGATTGGCGCCATTTCATTTTTGTTCATTTCGCCGCTCTATAGCTGGCAGCACTCAGCAGGCTTCAAAGTGCAAATTTGCAATGACCATACATGCCAAATGCATGATTACAATTTAATATCCGGAATGCAATTTCCTTATAAAGAGAACCCAAATCAAAATTAGTGAATATTTTCCTATTGTCCCAGCAGCTGTTAAGTATAAATTCCAATGTTCATTTTCTGATGAATTAATAACGACACTATACAAAGCAAAATATCGAGGAGATCAAACTTAAATGTTTGTAAGACCTATGATAATATGATAGTATAACATAAACAACAAAGCAAATTGTTTCGCACGAGTTGCAAACAACGAAGAGTGTTGCTGGTCTGTTCGCATTCCTAATTAACTTCGGCAACTAGATACATGACATTGATCGAATATGGAGCGTGATTAGCCCTAAAGCTGTTGGACGGTATCATATCACCTATGTCTACAGTGGCATGTAGCCAAGTGCATATATTTTGGTATTCATTTTACATCTTTACCCAATTTTCTTATTTTTATCCATGCTGTACTGCGATTACATAGCAATAAAGAGCAGTGTGCGCATAACGATCGAAGCTCTGGCTCCCTCATAGCTGATTATCGAACATAAACATCGTAGTTTAATTTACATCCGCTGCTTGCGTTTTACTGTTAATCAAAACATGCACAACAGACAGTTGACATATTTTACCGATGTTTGATTTAAAACGGCCAGTATTATTGCATGGGACCAGAGGATTCCCAACAATCGTCGGGTTTCATCCGTGAAAACGGGTATATAAATTTCTCTATCCGTTTACACGGATGAATCGGCCCATCCAAAAAAACGGTTGATTTTTCTTTCCGTTTAAACGGTTATTCGTATCCGTGCAAACGCTTTCTCCAAAGCGTAAAAACGTTTTCTTGAAAGCGTTAAATTTTTTCATCGAACCGTTTTAACGTTTTAACGAAGCGTGAAAACGTTTCACGGCATCCGTTTGCTAACCGTTTTGAATCCGTTTTTTTGCCCATTTAAACGGAAAAGCGTTAATGTTGGTTTTCCCGTGGAGGGTCACAATTATTTTACACCTTGATCAAAGTAAATTAAAAAAGAAAAAGTGAATACAATTTGAAAACGAAATATAAACATGGCAACAGATATTTTTACGATATGCCTAATTTTTAGTCATCTGCACTATTAGGGCATTTTATTGATGGGTTTTGTAATCCTATCTTAACAAAATAAGGAATAACGGGCTTTTAACACAGATGTGTGGTATAAGTCAATAGGTCTCGCAGCGAAGTTGCGATTTTTCCTTTAGTTTGAAAGCTACAAACAACTTTGTTGTTGTAAAGATGGATCTCCCAACCGAACATTTCTTTTCGAACATGAGAAGGATCATCGACCGGATAGAATATTTTGTATGTTCAGAATTTCCCAGGAAAAGTGTGAATTTGACGCTCCTGTCGAAATTGCTGTATCGGAGCATTTCCAGTCAGCGGTAATTATGTTAATTATTAGCGTCACGGCAGCTGCACGCAAATTTTTTAATAAGTTAAATTCTCTAAATTTCTGCAAGGTTTTATAATTAGACGTAAATATTTTTTCAGATTAAACGAGCACGGATTCGAGGGAGCTTAACTTCTACATCTTCGTCTGGTTTAGGATCAGGAGAGAGCGGAGCCAAGGTATTTTTTCCAATAGGTCTTCGAAAGGATTTGATACAATTGCTGGATATAGAAATTGTTGGTAAAGAAGACTACAGAGAGTTAGCAAACCGCCTTGGTTACAAAACCCAGTTTATACGTTGGTTGGAATGCCAGCATAGGCAAAGTCCAACTGATTTGCTTCTTATGCAGTGGGAAAATGATCATCAAGATCAAAGTGAAGAAAGTGCATTGCGTAAACTCCACGCGATACTTTTGGAAATGAGAAGAGAAGATGCTGCAGTGAAAATTCAGGAATATTTTGACGGATTCCAAACAAATGAGGAAACCGAACGTAGGTTGTCGGCTTGGGTATAAAACTGCTGAGCTTTGATGAGCGAAAACACTGTCAATTACTCATTTCATTCTAATCTGGTGGTCTCTGTTACCTCTCTTTCATTCGATATGGCAAAGTAATATTTTAGTACATGATGTCTAACTTAAATTTTGCATGATAATTATAAATTATACGACATGTGTAATTTCATGTAGTTTTAATATCACGTTGTTGCCGAGGCATGTTTGCTTTTGAAAAAAATGTGATGTTTTGAAAAAATGTGTAGACATGCGGATTTGTGGAAAATGAGCAAAATGCCTTATTAATTTTTTAATAATATAGGTTCCAATCGTTTTTTATGGAGTCATTTTTATCGCCGGAGTCCTTTTTTATGTATTGTCATGTAGTTGCCACTTACGTACGCTATGTGTCACATATATTTGTATTAATATTTACTAGTTTTAGCAATAGTTTTACCGTAACTCACAATGAAATCCATAACATATTTTATTTAGCCTAGTCCTTAATCGTTACTGTTATATGGCATACTGTTTTTAAATTTTTAACATGTTTTATCTTCATATATTTTTCGTAAGAATTGATCTCTAAGCAAACAAGTCCTATGCATTCAATGATATTACTGCATGCAGCATGATGAACCTCAACCAAACAACGTGGAAAATCGTTTTAAACTATATAATATTATAATGTAATATTTTTTACATTTTTACCTATAGCCAATCAGAATCCCTAAATGCTTAATGCTTTATATAAAATGGTAAATAATGTACCTTTCTAACAAACACTAGTAAAAATTTATGCATTATGATTGGGTTACTGAAAATATAAAAAAACTTGCTCATTAATCTAAAAAAAAATTCGCCCCTTCTTCCTCAACCAGGAAAATCACTCATGCGAATTGGCGCCAAAATTAAAAAAAAGTAGAAAATATTAGAGCTAAATAATTTTCATCTAAGCATGCACTACATCGTACACCACTTTGCAGTAAACACACACATGATTCAACTGCTCTTCTAAGCCATCTTGAGCGCCATTTAGAATTTTGTAGGTGGGATTCCAAACAATTGTGAAAGCATTGCCTCTGTATCGACAAGCACAGAATAGAAATTCACTCTGCAGACTCACTCTGCATTTTGCTTATGTTTTCATGTCCGAAATTTTTCAGAAGCGCACACGTCATTCTACGCAATTCTACGACATCTTGGTGCAGACACAATAACTGCATGGATACTAAGCGCCATTATTGCTGCGTGCGCTCGCGTTCTTGGCTTTCGTCTTGCTCTCAAAAAAATTCGGACGCTAAATGCAAAGAGTGATTCTCCTGGTAATGTCTAATGTCTATTCTGTGACAAGTGATATATGCTAGATCTTCGTATTAAAAATCTGAGTAAATCTTACTCAATTATCGGGTATTTGCTAGTGTCAAGCAAATTTATTTTAATTTAAATAATTATTACTCAGTGTTTGAGTAAAGTAATTTTTGAATTATTTATTTTAGTAGGAATATACGAGCGAGTTATCTTGTTTGAGTAATTTCTACTCATTATAACAAATAAGCGGTGTTAACTTTACTGGATATTTCGCGTTAGCCAATAATTATCTAAATTAATTTCATCATTTGATAATAAATCATTTGCATAATCTTGTTTACTGTAAAGCATGCAAATTACCAGGTTCTCGCGTCCAGTTAAAAGTAACAACAACATGGATCCCTAGTTCTTTCCGACCAATCAGAGCTGGAAATTTTAATGACATGAGGAGGAAGCTTGAAGCATGGAAAGGCGTATTTTTTACGTAGAAAGCTATTCTTGAAAATGCATGCAACCAGCGGCGTAGCCAGAATGATAATTGGGGGGGGTCCATATTCATATATTCGTGATACGCAGGATTAATTTCTTTTCAAATCAATTGTCTTTACAGTCTGTTTACATGAATATATGAATATGGACCCCCCCAATTATCGATGCTGGCTACGCCAGTGCATGCAACCTCTCGAATGTTTTGGGAGAAAAAATAATGTACTTTCCCATAGTTTATTCAACAGCTTCTACATAATATCATATTCCTCAATGCTCAAGATCTTATATTTGTGCAGGGAGAGGGGGAGATTAAACTCTTTTATTAAAAATAGGTACGCAGCGCGTACATGTGACTACCGCTCTGTCTTTGTCATCTGAGTGGTATGATGGATTTGGCTGGCAGAATAACTAGTGCTAATAGTTGTACCCGTTTGTCTTGCATTTGGAGTTTGAAGTCGCACCATTCAGTTTACCTTTATTCAAAGGTGACAGGTTGTGTATGTAGCCAATAACGGCCGGATTATTTCTTCTCGAAGCCATGGATATCGTCTGATTAAACTGATTCACTGAATCAGCACGGTAAACTGGGTGTGACTTTTTATACTAAAGCGCTTGGTTGACACTACTGTACAGGGTTTCTCCAAAAAAAACGCGACCACTTAAATATGCAAGAATATTAATATTGTTCGGTTTTGCACCATAGTTCAGCTAAAATGACTTTTAGCATTTTAAATGAAAGATTAAGAGCCATTTTCAATTCCCAGAGGTGCTTATCTATTGCGCTTTAGAGCTGTATTGATGTTCTGCATATTTAAGTGATTGCGTTTTTTTTAAGACACCCTGTAGTCCAAAGAATGGGCCATGTCATTACCGGAGGTCATTGGTGCATGTGTAAAATCCTTTGTCAGTCAGAGAAGAATACAATGGATCAGTGAGGATCGGCATATTATTATCACTTTTCATTGCTGATGATTAATGAAGGGGCTCATTCTTTCCTAAGTAAGCACGGGTAGCCCGCTTTTGGATTTGCTTTTAGTTATATATTAAATAAATTCTATGCAAAACGACATGAAGTGTCACCTTCCTTCATTCACTTCTGACATATTATCGCAGGCGCCAATTCGTGCGGTGCAGTGTAACCTTTATGTATATATTAATATAAGGTTGGCAACTCTTTGTCGTATTTTCACATTTACGAATTACGTACACAAACTTACACATGAAAATACTCGTACTTAAACACAAAAATATACACAAATAACTAAATCTATGTGGGAACTGACTCTCCTAAAACATTTCCGAAACATTTGTTTGTCTTTAAAGCCATTGCAAATATGTGAAATTTACGAAAATACAAACACTTTTTGGTTGAATTTTTTGAAAAGCCGTCGGGATCCCATCACCCTGCCCTACGTCCAGCAAACACGCAATATGATTGGCTGGTTGAGTCCCGTTAACGTAAACAAATTTAAAAATTTAAAACTAAGCATATTACAATACATATTTGCCTCTCATTTAACAAGGAGAAGCTTTTGGCATTCGCATTTTTTGCATTCAAATTCGAATACATATAATAATACAAAATAATAATTTCATATTAGCCTCAAATGTGGTATAACAACTACCTAAAATAGACAAAACACTTTTCGACGTTTCGACCTGATGGCCTTCGTCAGGAGAGTTAGTATGAAAATAAATAGGGGAGAATACATATTTTGTTTGGGGGCAAAACACGTGATAAATATAGGCCAATAAAAAACAAAAAATCAAAACAACTTGCAATATATTACATTGCCAAAGAGACGCCTGATTGTGGGCTAAATAGCCCGCAATGAGGGAAGCCTGATCAGCAAGGAAAACGTATTACAACCAGCTTTGATGTAAACAAAGACATGGTCGTCATATTATTATGGGCGAAGTAACTTAAATGAAACAGTCTTTCATTTATGCCAGAGGGATGGAGAGTGCCAAGACTGTGGATAAGTCGCATTTCTTGTCGTTTACGGCTATCGTTACTACCGGTAATTAGACAGAGGGCTCTAATTTTCATGTTCGTGACACAATGATTACAAGATGTAAGGTGTCTGGCAACAGACTTCCCTCATTGCGGGCTATTCTTAGCCCACAATCACGCGTCTCTTTGGCAATGTAATGTATTCCAATTTGCTATTATTATCTGATTATTAATTGCTACCAAAGCGGATCAAATTTGGTTTATTAAGACCCACCCAAACTATAAGCTAAACCCATCAGGTTAATAGCATTTGTTACTATAACTAAGGTCTAAGGCTTCCGAACGATACGGGACCTAAGATGTTTTGAGCATTTAATCTGATACCTCTATTTTGCAGTCTGGCACCATAAGGGTGTTTTTCCACAACGTCCTCTCTGCCCGCGCGAAAATTAAATTAGTTCATATTGATGATATTCATGACACAGTATCTGCTTTTTCCAATAAAAAGACATTTGGACGCGTGAACCAACGAGTAATGGCGTTTACTATTAATATATCATCAGTCGTATTTTGAGTTTGTTGTGAAATATACAAAAACTCTTTGCTCGATTGTGAGCTGAACCATTTTGTTTAGTTAATGTGGCCATTGACAGTTCAATTGTACAAAATTGTTTTTTGCGTTAAGGACAATCTAAAATCTAAATAATATTTCAGGATATTTCGTGTTGGCTTTTGTTGCTTCTGCTTTTGTTGCTTTTGTTGTACAGGCCATCTTCTATGCGAATAAAATTAATTGAAGTATGTGTGATTAGAATATCATACTATAGGCAATATAATAGTCAATGGATATATTGATTATTTAGAAACATGATCAACTAAATAACAGGGGCTAAGACATGTATGAGTACGTTTTTCGGATAGGAGAGCAGACATGCCGAATGAAATCATTACTAAAAATTGTAAGCTGTGCTTGTTCAAGTCTGCTTTGTGTTTTCTTGAGTTTGAGGGAGAAGAAAGTGTGTTGGGAGAGACTAGGATAGTAAAGCAAAAGCGACCTTCTATCTTGAATTGCAGTTATAATTTGGTAGGCATGCATAGCTCTTTCAAAGAAAATGTGCTTCCTATCCTTTTGGCCGGAAAATTATTACTAACATAACAGGAAATTATTCATTATGTATGTCCATAATATCGTGCCCTCTTATAGTCGCATTATTTTGGCAACCTGTTAACGTATTGTGATTAGTTTAACGCTTTTTTGCTGCAATATAGAATTACCTAATATTTCGTTTATAATTTTCTAATATCTTTGCTGTTACAAATATTTTTCAAACTTTGTTTGTGGTAATTTTCTTTAGTTTAGCGTTTTGAATGCCTCATTTATTACATATACTTAATTTGAGGCTTGGTTAAACGGTGAATCTTACTGGTTTCCTTTTTAAGAATGTTCCCTACAATAACTCGTGAGTTTTTATTTCATTAGTTAGCTCTGCATGGTGCATAATAATTATTCGCTCTTCAATATTCCTAATCGCAGTGGTACAAGTTTGTTTTGTGCCTCGAAGAGATATTTTTTCCAATTATCCCATGTAAGGCGTGACTCATCCAGACAAAGAAAGAAGATAAAACCTTTTGATTTTGACTTTATACCCATATATCATGTAATTTATGTTGTTTGCGTTAAAAGGAAGCGAGATGTTTACAAAATGGCCGGAAGACAACGGAGAGACATAAGAGAGACACATAATTCAAAATCAGGAAGGCCTTCAACGTCATCCGTGCAAAAATTAAGGTGTGTACTAAGGCGAAAGACGTAAGCGATCTTAATTCAGTTATGTAAATACGCCAATATGAAAATTGTGGCGACTAGCCTGATCGATGCACAATAATAGCGATTGGGGACATGAAGACCAGCCTGTGGTTGCTATTTAAAAAAAAATAATTGCTGCTTAGATATACAGGGTGTATCAAAAAAAACGCAACCACTTAATATTCATGAATATCCTCTTTGTTCTACAACACAAAAGACGTTTGGCCCCTGGAATGCGAGAAAGCTTGTTATCATATTCTAGCGGCACAATCGTCGGTAAACAAAGTCGAATGCGTAAACCAACGAGCTGAATTGAAAGTATTTAACGAGTAAAATTTACAATTTACAATTTATTTTAGAAGGTCGACAGTTAGCATTCAAGTTATCATGCACGACAATAAAGACTCGTTGTTCGGTTGTTAGCTGCACCAATATTAGTTTAGCTGATTTGACTATTAGCAGTTGAACTGTACGATTAGAAGCCATTTTAAAATCCTAGGGGCGTAAAATCTATTGAGCTTATGAACAATATGAATTTTAGAATATTAAGTGGTTGCGTTTTTTTTGATACACCCTGTAGTAATGAACATAATATTATAAACTTTACACTTGTTTTCTTTGTTTCAAACAAAGAATTCAAAGAGCTGCCTATATTCTCTCTATAATTATATGTTTGCATTCATTGGGTTATTCATCCTGTGTGTGAATATGAGATTTAACAGCTGTGATTGGTCGCTTAAGTTCCCCTCAGAGGCTCAATTATGCTATATAAATACTTGCTGTAAATGATTTTAATAGCTCGTCAGTCCTCTCGTCAGTCTGGCTGGGATTAGTTTTCACATCATATAATTGTGAGGAAAATGTCAAGTAATATGCGAGCCACAAAGGCAGGACCTCGTAAGTAGAAAAAAATTATGATTTACTATGATTTACTTCATCTATTTGAAGACAGATGCATCTGTTATTTTTCCATCTTTCGAAATCGTGTATGCAAGATTTAGTTGAGGCATCATGACCGTTCATGCATCTCGACCATTAGATATTTCAAGGCGCAACTTTTAGATTCGTATAATATTATTAGGTTACCATGAAAATTATGTTTAACAGTTGTATACAACTAGATGTACATCACAAAGCATCAAAACATAATAATTTTATTTGTATACCAAATTATGTTTTACTTTTTTAAAAAATTCTTAAAATTTGTTAATAACATTTCTTAAATCAGCTAGGGAAAGACAAAAAGCCAACCCGCTCATCTCCCGATTATCGCAGGAATCTCTTGCCTGTGTCTTTTCCGACGCTACGTCCAGATTTAAAACGTCTCTACTGATATAAAGAACCTTTGGTCATCATCCGCATTATATTTGCGACCCAATATCATGTTTGCTCGCCAGTCAAGTAGCAGAATAAGTGATCCTTCCTAAAATAACTATTTTGCATTGCGGCTATAGGCCGACGTACTGGTCACCATGATTGTCTCTTTGCCTCAACTGCATGGGACATGCCAGAAAAATTAGGAAAGTAGTTGCAAATTGAACTGCTCACTACTGATATGAAAACACTCGACTTGAACTGAAATATATAATGCCCAATATATAATATTATAATATAACATTTATGCTACGTGCGCGCTGATTGGTCAAGAAGCGCGTTTATAAACTGTATAATTTATAAGCATGAGAATTTTCCCGCCGAACTTGACAAGCGAAGTGATGTAATAAGAATTTGTAATTGAATCGAATTATAATATTTTTGCGAAATCTTTTTATTCAGTTATGTTGTTATACGGGCTCGTTTTCCCACTGATTATTTCTCGTTCTGCCAAGCTCCCACGCGTGTTTCTATTTAACAATTAGACAACGAGTCCGAGTTGTCTATGAGCGAATAGTCAACGAAGGCGAAGCCTGAGTTGACTATTCGTTCATGGACAACGAAGGCGAGTTGTCTAATTGTTTTAGTATACACCCTGTACCTAGATATATTAAATTCGAGAAAATAATCGATACACCACAATTACACCGAAAAATAATTTAATTAATTTAATTTTATACGGTCGCGCGAACGTCACTCACGCGACATAAAATGACATGTAAACAATACGTATAATACACGCGAGATCAACGGTCACAAGCAAACAGTTTGGTTTTAAAATGCCCAAAAAACGTTCGTTAGTAAGATTTCTTCTTAAATGTTATAAAAGAAACAACTACCAAGGGAAGAAAAGTTCAACGGGAAAGTGGGAACGATCATTCTTGTCTGGTGTAGTTGTTGTTAAAGATTGACACTGTGCAGCCATGGAAATTGAACGATTGTGGAGCTTGCATCTGGATATTTGTGGCTTGGTTTTCTATGCGAAACTGGACATCAGGGCTAGCTCGATCAGTCATTTCAGGTGCTAAAGACGTCGAATTTGAGGATGATGTTTGCATAAGGTCTGACTTGCTGTAAGTAGAGCTGCAGTGGCTAGACTGAATGGAAGGATTACTCTCGCCCGAGACGAAGCGACTTAGGATATTCGACATGTTTTCCTTTTGTTCGAAAGATGCTCTCGCGCTGTACGACTGAATGGAGAAGTCAGATTTGTGACCAGTAACGGCTTTGATGTGTCTTGCCTCTATATTGTGGTCGGACAAAACTGTGACAGACGTAGCTCGAATGCAATGATTTGTTAGGTGGGGGACTATCCCGGCGGCTTTCGACATTGTCTTGAGTAGATTCACGAGCGTGTTTATACCAAGGGGAGAATTACAGAACCAAACTTCATCACTGTCTACATGAAACTTGGCACAAATTTCTCTTGGCCGTTGAAACAAAGCGTCGTGATTTGGATTAAGGTGCTTCATTAGGTTTTCCACGGTTTTAACTGGACAACGAGGTGAATTGGGAACTTCAAACATTTTGCCGTCAGCTTCGTCGATGTTGTCGTTCAGACCGCCTTGGTGGTTTTTTGTTGAAATTAACGCTTCGCGACGGAACTCGTAGTATCGGCGTCCTTGTGTTGTTGAGCGAAGGACCAGCATCTGTTTGGTAAGTTTTCCTAGATTTTCTCGGCCTCGTTTACCAAAATAGAGGGTAATATAAAACCAAGCTGTTTGCATGAGCTGACGAGGATTTTGCGAGTCGCTGTTGCCAAGCTGGCCACTTTCATACAATTTTTCCAGTTGTTCTGGCGTGATTGCAGCTTTGTGGACAATTGCTCCGACTTTTCCTTCCCTCGTCTGTTTCTTACAAATAGCATTCAGGGTTTTGTTGGCTTTCTCAAATGCAGGGTCAGCAATTATCGACCAAGGCTTGTTGTTTGGTGCTTGTTTTAAATGCCTGTCAATCGCTGAACGTATACTGCGAAGCGTAGTAACTTTAAATTCGCTACCGTCTCTTTGTCTTGCAGCGGCATAAAATATTTGGAGGCACTGACAAAGCTCGTCTTTGGCCATTTGTTCCATTGGTGTAGTGAATTTAGACTGTGCGGCAAACCATTCTAAAAATACAGTTTTTATAGTGCAAATTGACGAAAATGTTGTGAATTTAGGCCTATTTAACCACTCGTGAGCGCCGAATAAAAGCAGATTTATTAATAAAATACGGTTTTCTATTTCGTTCCTTACCATTAAAAATTTTCATGCCATATTTTGTAGCCTGTTTAGTTTTTGCAGGGACAGAATTCTCGATCAAACTCTCTAAAAATTCCTCAGAAACCTCGGCAAAACGAGAGTTTACTGCCATATTTTTTCATGTTTGTTTTGATTTTTCCCAAACGTGCACCATCACGAATAGACAATGGTTGAGTAGCCAATCAGAATGTAGGATTTTTAATAGACAAGAGTCGGGTGTATACTAAAACTGTATAGAAACACGGAAAATGTTTTCTATTTCTTTAATTGCAATCGTTCGGAGCGCGTGGGCCGTTCCTGGGTCTTTGTGTGTATCGTAATTCCAAAGATCTTAAGGCCCATAATTATGCAATCACAATATCCGCGCTTCTCAACAGTATCGTTTATATATTAACGAGTTAATAGGAAATGGTTACGAAACGAAACAAAGATTAGTAAGGGGTTTAAAACTTTGTACACATGCATTAGTGTAATTCCACGATGGGATGAACTCAAATAATTTTCTTAACACATGCAGAAGCAGCCCATATCCATGTAGAACGTTTTTTACAGTTTGCGTAAGGTTTAAATGAAAAGCCCTTTGAAGTAAATTTGATCTCCTCGTCAAAATGTAAATAATTATTGTTTTAATTAAAGTAGCTTAACCAGTAGCGTAGCCAGCCTGTCGATTTGTCCCGCTATGCTAATATTTTAGTGTTCACTGACTGTAAACACAATGGATTTCTAAAGACATGAATAATTATAGTAACTCGAAATTTACATAGCGGGACAAAATCGTCAGGCTGGCTACGCCACTGAGCTTAACAAAAGTTAATGAGCGGACTTGGTATTATTTTAAAACTCATAAATCACTGTAATTGGACATTGTCACAATATCGATCCGATGATACTTTGACTTTAAACTAATAAATTATGATGGAATACGAAGAGTTAAGCCCCGTACAGACGGGCAAGATTTCGTTGACAAGTTTTCTTGACCATGCAGTTCACTTTCTGGTGTGTATGATGAACAAGTTTTCTTTGACAAGTTTTTCTTGACAACGTCTCCGTCTGTACGGGGCTTCAGCTCAAACTTAACAATAAATTAAGCCTGATTATATAAAAACAATATTGGCTGAGTTTCCTAATGGTCCCTCTTGGCTGAGATTACCAAATTAGTTCGCTACCGTAAAATGCCGGAGACTCGTTGGTTTTACAATTAGTGCATGTGATATAATCACAAACGATTATTCATTGCTAATTGTAGATTTTCACTGTCATTAAGTGCATGCCTGCATGTTGTTTCCTGACAGATGCAATAAATGTATCAGATTTTTTCCTAGATACATGCAACAGCATCGACCAAAAATACCATAAAATTAATATCGAGACCATGCCGATAGACTGATATGCCGAGAGGTTTCAGATTTGAATTTTTGCATGGCTGAAAACGTTTTTTCTCCTTTTTGTACACATCATGTATGGCTACTTGATGTAGTTTACGTTTTTGTATATTTTAACATCAACGTATATACATATTGATATTCCTAAATGTTTCTTTTTGCAAATAATTCTAAATAACATCACAAAGTTAACCTAAATTATTTCAATTTCTTAGATGTTCTTGCCGTTGTTTTGCTACTTTGCACTTGTTGGAACGTTTTGGCTGCTTGTGAAGAAGAATTGACTAACACCTGGACAAGATTTTGGTGGTGGAAAGCAGGCACAAAATGGCCTGCAACTGTAAAGGACGTTTTGCAGAATTCCTATGGTTCATGCACTAATACAGACTACTGCTTTCAGCGGTTGCCCGCCTGGACGAAGGAAAACATGACCGAGTTGCTTGCTGTTGATTCAGAAGGGACTATATATAAATGGAAATTTGATCCTACAAACCCAACAGCACATGCGGTGTGGCGTGCACTTCATGATCATCAAGAAACAGCGAAAGGCCAGGTACTATTCCAAACGGATTCCCATATTCTATTAGAACTGTGCAGACAGATCACCAACCTATTTCACCCAAATTTACCCAAAAATTTCTTTAGCGCGAAAAACGGCGCCGTAACCGCTTCTTTAAATTCCCCGTTTAATTTAAAGAAAAACGAACATTCGTAAAAACATTTGAATGTTTTTGAACGCTGTGTGGTCGTTCGATAGAAATTACACGCTCCGCTTTGACCGCTTATAACCATTTGCTATTTTTTACTTCCAATTTTTTGATGGTTAATTTTTTCTTGCAAAAATTACACCAGGTTTTGATAATGTTGTAGTTAAAATCTTTTCTGGTGTAGATCGTCAATAATAAGCCATGGAATCCAGATACAGTAGAAGGCAAACCTCCAAAAGCACCCCAAGATTCCTTTATGTATAGAGATCAGAATGGCGTAAAGTCTGTTCTTCTTGACGATGATAATTGCGACTGTTTGTCTTCTCTTAGTTTTGGTCATGGCATGTGTGGTACAGGTGAGTAAAATGACAAGATCTTTTGAAATATTACATTACAGCATAATCAAACTGCCGCAATATGCATGGAAGAGAAAGGGCATTCAAAGAACAGACTATATTATTTTATTGAAGGATCAACGCACTTTTATACAGCATTAAGAAGTCATGCATGGAGAACCATTCAGATATGCCCTTAAACTTAACAGTGAAACTATTTTATTGTTTAACTATTTTGAAATTTTAATTAGGAATGTATAACCTGTCTACAGGATGATTGTAGTCCCAGTCGAGTCTATTTTTCTACTATTCTTCATGTTTTTTGTTCCAGGGCACAATGTTCAATACAGTAAAGCTGGTGAATTTGGAGCAGACGCATTGTATGATCCTAAATGTCATGGGCCTCGATCATCGATTGGACTATCTCTGTACTTTCGACAAGGAAAACAACTTCACTTGTCACAATATGGGGGGCATTGGAAAGCATTCTGGTGGTGGACATCGGATGGCACGTGGCCCACACATGAAAAAGATGTGTTGCAACATGCGTACGGCACTTGCTCACAGTACGATTATTATTGCTTTCAGCGGTTACCATCATGGACACAGGAAGAATTTACTGAACTGTTAGCTATTGATTCAAAAGGAACTGTTTACCAGTGGAAATTTGATTCAACGAATCCCACAGCCCACGCTGTTTGGATCGCCCTCCATGATCACATACCAACGCCCTTTAAAAAGGTAATTTTTGTAAGAAGTACAACGCACTGTTGCTGTGATTTGCTATCTAGGGTTGCTCATATAGCTTTCAGTCCACGAAGATTTTTATAGAGAATTTTTGTGTGCTGAATTAATAAGATTTGATTGCTAATTACGCAATCGTTGAATGCGATTTTTTTTTTCTCTTCTGATCATTAACCGCAATGGAAATCTAACGTATCACCTGCTTACTTAGAGGTGCCTATCATGCAGCAATTTCCAAAAATGATCGTCATATCCAAAAAGTCCGAAAAGAAATCATATTATGTAGTACATACACGGAAAATTAACTAGCCTTCGGAAAGGCGCTTATGTTTGTAAATTCAGAAAGCAGATATGGGCTCATCATCATTCGTTTTGAACGCGGTTGGTCATCATTTCTAAAGAAAATAAAGTGGCGTAGCTAGAGCGTTAATTTGGCTGGGAGTGGGAGGGGTTGAATATTCATATATGCAGTTCTGCCTGACTGATATCTTTTGTAAGTGCCATAACTTAAAATAGAAATCCGTTGGGCAGAACTAAATGAATATGAATAACCCCCCACCCCTCGTTCTAGTGACGCCCCTTGGCAAACATACACGCTCTAAAAATTAATCAACTTCGATGTCCAAAAAGAGCATTGCCAAACGTATATAAAAGCATTTCTGAACTGCGTCAGAAAACCATATGAGAAACTTTTTAGCAAGAGTGAAATAGATATAGTTCATTTCTAAGTGTATAATATAACTCATCATCATAACTCATCATTATTGAAGTCATTCACCGTCATTCATCATCAAAATGGATTGTCCTAGCTCGTATTAAATGTTCTCACTCCCGTTTCACTTTTAAATGAAATTGTTAGCGTTAAATTGCACAGTTGTGGACGTCCAGACAACTTTGGAATGTTCTACTGGTAAGACATAACCATAAATGAGAAATGTTTAATTCGTAGATACGTGATTCAAAACCATGGAATCCCAAAGCTTTGGTTGGAAAGCCACCAGAGCGAGACCAAGATTCTTTCATGTACCGTGATGTAAAAGGACTGAAGTCATTTCTCTTGGATGATGATAATGGAGATTATTATGCCACTCTCAGCATGGGATATGCTATGGATCAAGATCGTCCTTTCAAAGGCCTGGGGGTCGATTACCTTTACGATATTAACGGTATACCAGACGTAAGTAAAGGACTGACTCTTTACTTCCGAGCAGATCACAGAAAGAATGTTAGCAAATACGGTTCGGGATGGCGACCATTTTGGTGGTTCTCAGCCGGTTCGACCTGGCCAAAATGTAAGTCCTCTGAAGTCACCGACGTCCTTCGTGATCCTTATGGCACCTGCAAAGACAGGTAGGAAACACTATTGATCTTTTTGTGATCTAAAAAGTACGCCAATAAGTCGATAATCAAGTATGTGTACTGAACAGATTCGTATCATCGGGAAATTTAGTTTGTCAGTCGAATTATTTACGTCAAAATTGCACGTTTGGTCCATGCGCAATTTATTGCACTTACATACAGTAAAAAAACGGGCTCAATGCGCTCGAAGACTACAAAAAGTAGGTGTTCTTAACGTTCACATTATTTTGTTTCACCAATTGAATAGAATGTTTCATCTTTTTTTTACAATAGCGACTCCTACTGCTTTCAGCGACTACCTGCGTGGGCATATGAAGAAAGGACGAGCATATTGGCTACCGATAATGCAGGAAACGTTTACAAATGGAAATTCAACTCGAACAATCCTACTGCTCATGCGGCGTGGCAAGCTTTTCACGGTCACATCGAGACAGCTGCTGGCATTGTCAAGGATAAAACGCCCTGGAATCCAGTTGTTATTAAAGGAAAATCGATAGATGTGGTCCAAGACTCGTTTATGTATCGCACGCAGGGTTCAACTAAATCATTGTTGCTTGATGACGACAACTGTGATTGTTTGTCAACATTAAATATCGGAGGTTCACTTTGTGGTACTGGGTCAGGAAAGGGGGATAGCTACGGAGTAGACATTCTTTATGACCCAACGTGTGGTGTCCCTAAACCTTCAAATGGTCTTCGTTTATATTACCAAACCGAAAAAGAAATGTCATTTACCGATTACGGCTTGGAGTGGACAGCGTTTTGGTGGTGGACAAAAGACGCAACATGGCCGATAAATGAAAAGGACGTGTTAGAATACAAATACGGACATTGCAAAGAAGATGACATCTATTGTTTCCAGCGGTTACCAAAATGGGCTGTGGAAGATTTCACTCATCTGTTGGCAGTCGATACGGCCGGCAATAGATACATATGGAAATTTGACTCTAGTAATCCAACAGCACACGCAGTCTGGCAAGCTTTTCATGATCATCAGGTTACTTTGGCCGAAAAAATAAAGAACAACAAACCATGGAACCCAGAAGTTAAAAAAGGAACCAAACCAAAGCAGGTAAATAATTGCGAGATCGTGATGAGGGTACTAAAAAATCAGTGTTTAATACCCCTGTACAATTTTGTTTATGTTGATGGAACCTCATTCATATCTTTTTTTCTTATATTTTAAACTTTAGAACCAAGATTCGTTTATGTATCGTGAACAACAGGGTGTTAAATCTCTTTTATTGGACGATGATAATTGTGACTGTTTATCAACATTAAGCATGGGACACGGAATGTGTGGTGCAAGTTTCAGTACTACATATGGACCGGTGAAAAGGTCTGTTTTACTTTAAAGGCTATAGTGACGTGTTTTATAATTGTGTGTAGCTATTTGCGTACTTTAAATGGTACATTTTATCGTTAGTGTTGAATTGAACGCATCAGAACTTGTTCTTTAAATAATTTGCAACAAGATAACCGTTTGTTTCATGCGGTAAGCGTGCGCAACGAATCCCATAGTGACTTGCATGCATGTTTTAGTTTTCGAAATGTTATACACATACAGCTACTGAAATTTTTTTACAAGTCTTTGACGCCATTAACGCAAAAAATTCTCCTGATGTTTTTTTTAGATATGGCGTTGACGCTTTGTATGATCATCATTGCAATACCCCCCGTCCAACAGTTGGTCTGGCTCTATATTTTGCGACTTCTCGTCCAATGACTCTGTGCACACATGGCGGAAACTGGCTTGCATTCTGGTGGTGGTCAGCAAATACTCAATGGCCAGCAACTTCAGAAGAGAACGACGTACTAGGCCATGGGTATGGCACATGTGGCCCACGTGATCAGTATTGTTTTGGTAGGTTACCATCCTGGGCTAAGGAAGACTCGACTGAGATCTTGGGAGTAGATTCTGCGGGAAATACTTACAAGTGGAAGTTTGACTCAACCAATCCGACTGCACATGCAGTTTGGCAAGCCTTTCACGATCATATAACGACACCTGCTGGCAAAGTAGTGAACAACAAGCCCTGGAACCCTGTTGTCCTGTCAGGAACAGCGCCCAAAGCACCCCAGGATTCCTTCATGTATCGTGAACAAAATGGAGTTAAGTCTATCTTGCTTGACGATGATAACTGTGATTGTTTAACAAGTCTCAATATCGGTCATGGAATGTGTGGGTCATCACATTCGACAAAATATGGTCCTGCAAACCAATATGGCGTTGATACATTGTTTGATGGTGGATGTCAAGTACCACGACCTAGTGTAGGTCTAACAATCTATTTCCGCACTAACTAACTGCTAGTTTGTACGCAAGTGTCACTTTTATCTTGCTTTGGAACTCTTTTTGTCCCATCATGCATTTATCCGTCTATATTAACATTGTAGCTAGTTTTTGAACGAACTGCAGTAGTAAAAACTTCGTCAGTAGTTTTTGTAGCACATTTGTGAACAATGTTGACTGGCTTTTACAGTCATTTTTTGTTTATTTAATGCGCTTTAAAACATTATATATTCACGGTATGGCTACGAGTTTCCGTGGCTTTTTTTCCTTCTAATTACATTGCTAAAATTTTAAATCATGAATTTGGTCTATGAATTTGCACAAAATTTGAACCCGTCAATGCAGACAAGCAGCGCCCAGATTGGTAAAGACAAAAGGTTTATATTTCTGTGATGCGTCAGCAATAATGAGAATAATTTCGCAAACTTTTATAAGAAAATCGTTTTATATAAACTAGCATGCACGAAACTAAGCGTTGAAAATGTCAACGATCAGCGTCAGCATTAGCTGAAGGGCGCCTAACGTGTTTAAATAAATATTTAATAATTCGTAATATTTAAGGTTTGTTCATAGTCAGAAATTTTTCCTCCAAACTGATCGCACAGTGTGATAAAACATGCTAAAACAATTTGTTTTGGTTCTGGGGCCGGTTGTATCGTCGTTTCTATTAACGCCGATACTGATTAACTAATAATGTAGTTAACTTGCGTGTAGATTGCGTGAAGATTGCGTGGGTTTCTTAAACAGAGAAATAGCATGGAGTATTCTGATATTATTGACTGCTGCTATAGATACCACAGTTGTACTGAAAATATTGTGAAAATGAGCGAAAAGGAGCGAAAAGGAGCGAAAATTTCTTTCGGTCGAAAAATTCCGGCTAATAAAAAACCGCCCTTAAGGCCATGTTACATGGTGCAATTATTTTTTGCAACTTGCAATGCAATTCTAATTTTGAGAGGTGTAAATTAGTGAAGAGGCTTCAAGATGTAAATGTAAGAAACGCCATGGATTAATTGTAATAGAGAAAAGTTTGGTAGGTGCAAAATTACATCTCTCCAAAGTAGAATTGCAGTACAAGTTGCAAAAAAAATTGCACAGTGTAACAGGGCATTTTGCTTAATTAACAGCATGTTAAAGGCAGACGTATATAGCTTTAAAACCTCTTAAGGTGTTCCACTGCAGAAAAATCATGATTTATTCCGTATTAAAAATTTCAAGGGATGCAAAAACAAGTGTATTTCTAAGCGATCCTGAATAGTTTTCTCCTAGAAATATAGCTACAAGGAATGCGAGAATTAAACAACAAAAGTTTTATTAATTAGGGATTTGCTCCAAGAAAACGAAAGGGGTTGATTGGCTTATTCTATAGTTTCATTGTTATATTGCATTGCTCTCTATAATTTATGGAAAAATATATGCAAAACTTTTTTTTGTTGCTTTTCTTAGCAAACGAAAATTCACTCCCTTTACTTTCGTGCATGATAACTCAAAAAGTGATAAAGCCAACTTAAAGGAATTTTTGTGGTTGACTTTAAAGACAATCGGCTCGAAGACGAACTAAAAGTTTTGCATTCCGTTCAGTTTAAGTGCATGAAATAGCGACTGGTTATTTCAGATACATCGTACAAGTTTTATATTCATAGCCTTTAAAACGTTTAATACTCACAAGTTTTATTTATTCCAGTTCAGCTGCGAGGCAAAAATATTCGTATAAAAAAAGGATATTCATATATACAACTAAATAAAACCAATTCCGTCGTTCTAGCGTCAAAACCTGGTTTGTTATCGTGTTTACAAAAATAATTTTTTCCACCTTTGGGCACGGTGTGTCTGATCTTGGTAACTATAGTGATTGAAGACTCTTACAAGTCTTTTTCACTCAGAGCAACTTGGCTTGCAATATGACACGAACAGGTTTTATAATTTTCAAAATTAAAGATTTTTTGTTATTGGACCACCTTATAATACTAATGTTAAATTCAAGTTCGCTGTGCGCATCGGTTCTGCTCAACTATAGAGACCTTGGATGTAATCCTATTCTATAAAGTAAAGAAGTTCAAAATTTAAACATGTCAAACCGTTAACTTTGTTTGCATAACGATCAGTTCTAAAAATTCGCACTTATACACGTGCTATTGTTAAATTATACTAATTTGGTCGCATATGATCGTTTAAACGACTCAAACTCGCTGTCGCAAGTCCCTCCCACAGAGGAGACAGTTTTTGCATTGCAAATTGCAAGGAACAGCAGGTCGATCGCTGCATGGACACCAATGCTTAATGTAAGATTTGGTTGCAAGTCGTTTGTACGCGAAACTAATTTGCCGCGACTTATTATTTTTTGACGAACTCTAAAACCTATGTGAGGCCGCGGCTTATTTTAGCCGGGAATAATTATTTTTTAATTATTATTTAACCTTATTTACAGCTGCGGCTTATTTAGGTTGCGGCTTTTGGCTATTTGTCGCCACATTTGAGTATTAAAAAAAAGAGACCCATGCACTGAATTTACTTAATTTTAGTAGCAATCACGCAATAAACGCACACGAGATCGGTTGGTTTTTTAGCTTTGTTACAATCGCTACACGCAGGCAAAGACACGATGGCGAAATATTTGATAACTTTAGCTGTCATATTAATACTAACGGGCAAATTTAAAGGGGAATTTCAGTCATCGGAGAATTTTATCAGAATTAAGCAAGGTAAAGGTATATAAAATGATAAATTAAAGTGACCCATGCATGGTTACGAGGTTTCGAAATGGGAAATAACGAACAAATTCATTGTACATTTTACATATTTTTTTTAAATCGACACATCTCTTAATTACCGACTCTATAGTTTAAATTAGATTTAGGAATAAACTTTTTCGTGTGCTATACTGAGGCTGGCCGATTGTATAGCCTAACACATTTAACACATTTCGCTAAAGCTATGGGACCAAAGCTTAGACATAAAGAACTTAAAAAAAGGACTTTAAGGGCAGTAAGGGCAGTATTTTTTTTTCCAAGGTGTGTAACAAAAAGTTATAGGACCGAAAGTAGAATTACAGTACGTAGCCGACGTGCAGAAATGGGCAATTTAATAATTGCTTAAAAAAGATTGCTTTCACATCTTTCATGTAATCAGAATGCTGAGGTTGGCATTTTAGATACCTTAATTTCACACACTTTGCAATTGCAGCAAGTAATGGCCGATTCTAATAAGACGACCCATGCTTACACGCATCAACTGCTGTGAAGAATTACTTCATTTGATTATTAACATAAAATAACATAGAAAAGCCGCCATTTTTCGAGTTTAAGGTAGTCTGCAAATTGAAAATCGATTTATCTTGTTTTAAATATTTCCATGGATGCAAACTTAAATGTTTCCCTAATCGATCCTGCAGAATTTTTATATTTTACAAAAGAAAAAGATAGATCAGAAAAAATAGCTAAAGCATATAATTATGTAGCACGTAACATACTTGTTGTTTTTCCATAATTATTAAAAATAGCTAACCACCAGTTCAAAATAGGTTTTTATTCCAGGACGGCGGTTATTCTACTTTAATGTTTAGATTATAATTTAAAAAATATCCGCTTTTATAATGGTCTTCCGCAGCTGATATACTTGTCGTCTTTTTGAGTATTTTTGTCTCAGATAATAATTTTAGTCCATATAATAAACAGAACATTACACGGCTCGCTATATATATATATATATATATATATATATATATATAATTATATATATATATATATATATATATATATATATATATACACCCATTTGCAAAAACGTTGGCCGCAGATAGATAGATAGATACTCGAAATCTAATTAGAATTGCATATGATGTGTAATATGATTGAAATCCCATGCAAATGTAATCATATGCAATTCTAATTAGACTTCGAGTATCTATCTATCTATCTATCTATCTGCGGCCAACGTTTTTGCAAATGGGTGTATATATATATATATATATATATATATATATATATATATATATATATATATATATATATATATATATATATATACATATATATATACATATATATATATATATATATATATATATATATATATTTGTTGATATATTTGTACTTTTGCTCTTAATTGAGCAATGTGTTCACTTGTGGGCCTTTATATGTGATATGTGTCTTATATGTTCTTTTTACACAAGTATAACCAACCGCGCAAGCAGAAAATTCTACTTGACCGCGGTGGGAATCGAACCCGCGACCTTCGCATTTCTAGAACGATGCTCTACCGTCTGAGCTATACAAGGCCAAGTTGGGAACGACTGTTACTTAAGTTGTTATTGACATTACGGAGTTTCGTCCTTACGTGTCGTTATACTTCTGCAAATGTTGATATATTTGTACTTTTGCTCTTAATTGAGCCATGTGTTCACTTGTGGGATTATTTGTGATATGTGCATTGATATGGCAAGGCCGCGGGTTCCCTGCGAAGGTCGAAGGTCGCGGGTTCGATTCCCACCGTGGTCAAGTAGAATTTTCTGCTTGCGCGGTTGGTTATACTTGTGTAGAAAGATCATATAAAACACATATCACATATAATCCCACAAGTGAACACATGGCTCAATTAAGAGCAAAAGTACAAATATATCAACAATTTTGCAGAAGTAACTGCATAACGACACGTAAGGACGAAACTCCGTAATGTCAATAACAACTTAAGTAACAGTCGTTCCCAACTTGGCCTTGTAGCTCAGACGGTAGAGCATCGTTCTAGAAATGCGAAGGTCGCGGGTTCGATTCCCACCGCGGTCAAGTAGAATTTTCTGCTTGCGCGGTTGGTTATATTTGTGTAGAAAGAACATATAAAACATATACATATATATATATATATATATATATATATATATATATAATATATATAATATATATTATATATATATATATATATATGTGATATGTGTTTTATATATATATATATATATATATATATAGATACGTTCGCAAAAACGTTGGCTGTAGATAGATATATAAATAAATACTCATTAATTATAACTGCGTAATGTTGTGTAATATGATTGAAATCCCATGCGAATGTAATCATATGCAATTCTAATTAGACTTCGAGCATCTATCTATCTGCGGCCAACGTTTTTGCAAATGGGTGTATATATATATATATATATATATATATATATAATTATATATATATATATATATATAAAGATTAAAAAGTTCTATAAGACGTTTCGATCAGAAACCTCCGATCTTCGTCACTTGACAACTAAAAACTAAGAGGCTAATAACATGCAGGCCTCTATTTATGCAGTTCGTTAGCTAATTAAGAAGCATTTGGGAGCTATAAATATCCGGAATGTCAACGTGGTTATTGCCAGAATTTTTGTCCACTTAGGAATACTAAGCCTAGAGGAACAAACGTTTATGATAATTTTTTTTTAAATTATACGTTTCAGTAAATATATTTCC